CTTCTTTGCAAATAATACTATTGTTTGCAAAGAAGTTTACATAGTAAAAGAAACGTTTTTTAAAGATATCTTAGCACCCACCAAGCCGATTTTGACGCTCTAACCACCATTAGATGCGTCTTGACAAGCTCTACAAAAGTCTTTTAAGTTAGAAAAGTAATTAACTTAGTATAAAAAAAAGTTTTAGATGTGCGCACGCCACATTTGAGACCCCAATTTTTATAAGTAATTTGAGTTACTTTTTACTATGATCATTCTCTGGTTGACTGGTGGATTATCAATTAATTTGTCAGAGTTTTTTGATTTAGCTTGTTTTAAAAAAGGTATATCACTTTAAAGTTTTATTAATAGACATTGGATATCTCTTGCTGTCCCGCACTATACTTGGGGGTTCCTACAGCAAAAGGTAGTGATGGGCAAAAAATTTTTTTTTATAGTTTTTTAATATTGTGTTCCAAATAATTCAATTTTTGCAAAAATAAAGTTTTTACAATAAAAGTTTTTTTGGCCCATCATCACCTTTTGCTATGAGGCCTCCCACTTATTAAAAAAATAATACCATTACAAATGTAATAATTTTAATTACTTTTAAATAGATGAATTTTACCTTCATGATATAAAGATTTTAAAATAGAATGACAAAACTTAGTACTTACAGTATGTAATTAAAAAAATTTAACTAGCCATGAGTATTGGGTATGCTCTTGTTCTTACTTTTTAACAAATAGGTTTTTTTATACAAGTACCTTGTAAGCCTACTTGAAATGATAAATATATTTTTTTTTAAAAAGATCTTTTTTTTTTATATATTAATATTTAATATTAAAAATATTTAACTATTTTTTATTTAGGTTCAATAAAATTCAAGCTATCTATTTATTGTAGAAGCTGAAAAAACTTTATAAGAAATAATTCATACAACACTATTAATAAACAATATAACATCTACTTCAACCTCTACTTTAATGATTAATTCAATTACTGTACTTTTAATAAATATATAGCAAATAAAAAAACTGTAAAAACATTGAAGATATTAAAATTAATCTAAAAATTGAAGAACATAAAAACACACTTATTGTGATAAATTTAGTTATAATTGTGTAATTAAATTTATTATTTTTATTTTTATTTTTATTTTTTTTAGGTATTAGACATTCTTGAGAAGGCTTATAATCTTTCACAACAAAATAAATGATAATCCAAAAAATAGTTAATAACAGATAATATAAAAAGTTTAGAGCAAGCAAAACATCTTCCACAAACATGGAATAGCTGAAATAAAAACACATTTTATTGGCAATAATGTTATAATATGTAATTGAACAATTTCTAATATAGATATATGCTAAAATAGAAGGCTATTAAAAAAAGCCTTCATGATTTAAAATAAAAATCAAATTATTATATGTAGTGCTACAGTAATATTTATACTCTTATTCTTGATAAACAAACTAAAAGTAAAAACTTATGCAATAAACTTTTATAGTACTCGCTGAATCAATATAACAAGTTTTGAGTATTGAATCCTATTTATGAAGTGATTTTTGTTCGTATTGCTTTATAAATTATTCATTAAAAAATTTTATAACCGACAAAAATTTAAAGAAAAAAATTTTTTATGTACTATACATTCAACATTCGAATTATGAAATTTTACATTAATAAAATCAGTATCATTCGGTATGGCTTAAAAATTATATTAATAATAAATTGCCCAAAATTCACATTAATAAAATCTATTATGTTTTTTTTAAAGCGCCGATTACGGAAATGATTTTGGTGGTTATGCTAGAGGGATTAATAAATCTAGGCTTCGGGCTTTTAATAACTTATCGAATTACGTTAAAAACCTGTATAAATTTTAAATTCTAAGGTCCTTTGACACTCACATTCGTTCGTACGTACGTATGCATATAGATCAGACGTGATAATCGCAGGTAAGCAGTATGATATATAGACATGTCAACTTATCAATAATTACATTACAGATCATCAAGTAGGTTAATTTTTATTGGCTAATTAAATCATATTGAAACAATGCTGGGAGGTTTCACAGCCTCATTTCACATTTGGTTTTAGACTCAGACTTCTCATTGTCAAATTTGTCTTTTTTCTTAACGTTATTATACTATGTCTTCTAGTAAAACTCATTCTGCACAGAACGCTAATTCCCAAGAGCCTAAACCACCTTCAGTACTCTTCTGCTATGGCTGTGAAAAAGAGAAGCCTATTCACTCATTCTCGAAAACGCAAATTACAAAGGCAATGGCAAATATTTATAATCGTTAGTAAAGTTCTATCAATCTTTTATATGATTGAAAAGCGTTATTAATTTTGTGAGAATGTGAAATGGATTGTATGGAATATTTTGAATTAATTATTATCATAATATACTATATTTTCTGCTTTTAAGGCTACGCTCCGAAGGGTAGAACCACAAAAAGACATCATACAACTTGTAAGCATTGCACTCCTCAGCAAAATACCTCTCTAACCTGTATGGTTTGCACCAGAACTATGCCTTTGGATAAGTTCGCTAAGGCATGTATCTTGATTACGTGTTAATCTAATATATTAGTAAGGTAGCCAGATCTACTAGAAATCTCTATTTAAAACGATTATTCTGATATTGGTATACTTTTAATATATCACTTTTAGGCTCAAAGAAAGAATGCAGAGAAGGCGAGGTGCATCGGTAAGATTTAATTAAGATAGTTACATTAGGTCACTGTTAGAGTTTTGAATGGATTTATTTTTATTATCGAATCCTAAAAATAAATCCAATTTTAGACTCGAATCATTTTCTATATCTTTTTAATCGCTGATGGAGTTACGAAAAATTTTATCGTAATTCAATTAACGATTAAAGTGGGTTCCCATCTTTTTTGATCCATAGTATGTTTTAATAATTTTGTAGCAAGTTACTAATCCAGGCTTTTAACCTCGATTTGTAATGAAAAGAATGCATGAAAAAGCAACAAGACGAAGATACCGATGATAGTGAAGATTACGATGACTCGGAAGACGGTTCTTATAATGAAACATGGGATGATATCTTGTAAATTTGCCGCCTTATTATATTACGTGAATATGAGCAAATTCATTCTCCCTTGTTTCTCCCGCTTTGTATAATGAAAGGAAATGATACTTTTTGCCATCTTTGATTTTCATGTATGAATAATTTCTATACATTAGAGCAAAGATAAAGTATACAATTTATTCAACAAAAGGAAAAGACATCTGACAAATGATTGCTGAATTTTGTAACCTGCTAATAACTGAATTAAAAGACGATTCCTGTTAAACTTTTAATTGAATTAAAAAAGTTCAGTTTAAAGTTTACTATTATTAAGCCGAATTCAGTAAAGAACGTTAGTTTAAAAAGTTAAAAATATTTATTTCTTAATGTGTAATATATACTTTTTAAACTTTATATATTGGTATTAACCAATAATTAAAAGTTTCGTTTATATTAATTTTTAAAGCATATAGCTTGTTGCTTATACTAATCGTAATTGTTTTATAAAATTTACATAAAAATCTGTAAGATACTGTACATATACTTTTATGAACATGATGCAGTTGTAAAAATGTTTAAATTTTTTCTAACACTTGATCTTCTCTCTGATTGGATTAATACTACACATACGTACGTACAGTACGTATGTTTATCAGTTATACATGTAAACAATTTTTTTAAACCGGATTTGTTCTATTTTATAATCGTAATCTTTTCAGATTGCTACTTATTAGATACGTACGTACGTACATAATTCTTGTGTCAACTTTTCAATTGTCACATGTCAATCAAACCACAAACCCAATAATACTGTTATGATTCGAGGTATTAGCAAATTTAATTTTTTTAATAGCGTATGTATTAAATTTTATTATAAATAGATACGCAATATCTTAAAACTTATTTTATTAAATTTATTATAAATTTTTAATATAATAATATACAAAAGTTTAAAGCTTTTGCTTTAAAAATTTTTATTATTATATAATATATATATTTTTTTTGAGCTTTGATGGCTTTGCTAGTATTCAAATAATTAAAAAACTTTATTTAGAACAAGCATTATTTAGAACTAAACAAATTGTTTTTTTTTTAATTGTAAGCCCAACATCTTATAGCTGTAATAAAACATGCCTATCAGTAACTTGTTGTACCAACTTGTATACAAGTTAGATAAACTTTGTCAGCTTATCAAAAGTTAATTTCTTCAATTTTTTTTTCTTTACTAAAAGCAAAAAAAGTAGTGATCCTATATAGTGTTTTAAATTAATTAAAATTTTATTGATTGGTTAGTTGTCAATTATAGTTGCAATTAACCAGTTATGTCATAGAGAGATATTCATATAATTGGTTAATTTTGGTAGATTTATTCATGATTGCTCATAATAATTAACCAATCAAATACATAATTTTATTGATGCTAGAAAACAAAATAAAACTTCAAATAAAGAAGCTTACAAACTAATAAATACACATAAAAGAACAAATTACTTATATTTAGAGAATATAAAATACAGTATGTATAAAGTAGGTAAATGTAATATTTATTATTAATAAACTCAAACTTATTAAAAAATCTACATACAAGATCTTATACACAGTATATAAATTACAACTATTAATATATAGTTGACAAGCACAAATATATTACAAAAACTGATTAAATTTAAATATTAAGTCCAGATTTTTTATTACTAAAAGCTTGTACCTATTCAAATTAAAGAGTTAAAAGTAAAAATTTATCTAAATCTAATATAATAAAATAGTTTTAGATGAAAACATTTCCAGTTACCTTCACTTTACAATATGGTTCAATAAACAGTAAGTATACTTTGTCTTCTAAGTAAAGTTCTCAAAGTTATTGATTATTTTTGATTATTTTTGTATAGTGAATATAAATATTCTTTTGAAGTAAAAAATAACTTTTGTAGTGATTTTTTATTAGTGAAATGTTATATTCTTAAAAAATACTTTAAAGTATATAAATAAGTTATCCAGGCAATTGTTTTATATTAGCCAATTAAATAAATATTTGACTATGACCGGTTATGTATATCATGTTAGTTAATTAAAAAGCTGACAATTATCAGGTGATTTTCTAGGAGAGGGGTCAAAAAATTTGAAATTTTATATATAAAACCTGATAATTTATATATTAAAAACTAGGAGAAGGGTAAGTCTCTGATAAAAAAAAATCAGGTGATAAATAACACTGCCTTAGTTAGTTAAGTTGGTTAGTTGATTAGTTGTATAAGATAGCTATGCAGCATGTGATACTATGCAGGACTAGTACAATTATATATATGTAAAATTCAAAATATATAAAATAGTTGTTCGGAGCATAGCGGAGGACATTTAGTGTTTACGCATGGTGATACAAAAGTTGCGATCTTGATGCATCAATAGTTACATTTTTGACTAAATTTATTGTCTAGAGCGTAGCAGAGGACATTTAGTGTTTACGCATGGTAATACAAAAGTTGCGATCTTGATGCATCAATAGTTACGTTTTTGACTAAATTTATATTAAAGCATCAAAATCGTAACTTTGAAAATTCTTGTCTGTCCGCACACGTGTCGCGTGAGTAATCCCACTATTTTTCTTTTTAAAACAACTTACCTTTTATATGTTTAAAAAATCGTGGAATCATGATCAGCTTATAAAATTTATGCAAGTAATTAGCAAATCAGCAATTGCCATTTTCTTTTTTTTTATTTGTTACCTGTTAAAGCTAAGAATCAACGTTTGGTTTTTATTTTTATTTTATTGTTGAGTTAACCCTATTACTGTATTAACTAATTTCTAGGTATGAGGGAAAGTAGTCATCTTTCCTCAACTTTCCTCTCTTGCAAACGTTTACAGGCTTTAATGCGGCTTAACCTGTCAAAATTGAACAATCTGAACAGAAGATCGTCAAGAGAATGGACACGCGACAATGCCATGAAAGAAAGCCCTGCACTAATTTCTTTCTCCCCAAGAGATATATATGCCTTAGGTAAGGTGAGCCCTGGCTTTTGTAAACTGTAATGGACCAGGCAAGACGAAGGGGAATCTGTATACGTGAACATGCATTACCTGTTTTACCCTCCCAGGTATGTTTAATCGGCGTAATTGGAACAACTTTTGTACCCTCTATACTGGTAATTGTAGGCCCTTGGTAACAATCGAAGGACACTAAAACTGCTATAAGTAAGAAAGGGGGTCCATGATCTTTGAACAAAATATCTTGGACAGTTCCTAATGCACCATTCACAAGTTCAGATTCTGTCCAAATGTTTGCTGTAAGCATGACGCGTGCTCCTCTTGCCAACAACAGCTGTGCTTCAAGACCATGTACAGTGTCTGAGTCGGCTCTTTTAGCATCTCTATCACCGCTGTGTGTTGCAATAATTTTAGCAACTGGGACATTTAAAGCTCAAAGCTTATCAATATTTATGACGTCCACATCAGACCATTTCGGCAGAATGTAAGTAGTTTCTGAAAACTGTTCACACTCTGCTCTTGATAACTTTTTTTCAAATCGTGTGGTAAGCAACTTCCAATCTTCTATTGTAGATTCACCATCACGAAGTCATAAAAGGATGTCTCTGAACCTTCTTTGTTCCTCTGAATCTCCAGATTGTCGCTGAACTATGTCAAGTTTGTATACCTCATTGAATTGTTTGTATGCTGCATGCCCGTTATTTGACAATGGATCTCGTCTTTTAATGCTGGTATACATTAGGAGATCAAGTACTGGTAGAAGTTGGCCAAAATCACCAACCATAATAACAGACCTTCCACTGAAGAGTTCATTTCTTTGTTCGGGAAAAGCTTGGCGTAGACGCATGTCAACTAAAGCAAGCATGTGCCGTCCTACCATGCTTTTCTCATCTATGATTATATAGATTACGCCTTCTAATCTCTTTTGTAGCTGTTTTAATCGTTCCCCATTTATATCCAGGTTATCATTGCCATCATTTATTGCGATTGAAAGGGCAGAATGGATCGTCATACCATTAATGTTATATGCTGCAGCACCTGTCGGAGCAAGCACAAGTACTGGTAATCTAGACTCAATCTCTGTCATTTGATGAAGTGTGTGTTGAATCACATTAACAAGGTATAATTTACCTATCCCTGCTGTTCCTAATATTATGATTTTTAGTGGTTCAATATGACAGCCTATGAGCACATTACGATAATGCGATTCAATTCTTTTAAATACTTTCATTTGATTATTATTTAGGGTTTGAGGATTTATGAAACCTGTATTTACATTCATATTTTCATCTGTTTGATAATTTCCACTAGAAGCTTGACATATAAAAGTGTCGGCGTTTGCAAGGTCAGTATCAGAGTAGCGTTGTCTAGCATCATCAACCCATCTATGATTAAGATCCATATTACGAGTTCCTAAATCGCAGGAATCATTTATGGCTGCATTTGGACCCATTTCTGCCAATAACATCCAATCTAATCTTAATTCTTCCTGTTCATCATCATCAGGCTGTTCATTCTGATTATCATCATCATCATCGTCGGTGGACTCGACTTTATCTACATGGTGTCCAAGTAAGTCGATTGGGTCATTATTGATCTCTTCATAATAACAGTTATATAAAGTTGACTATTCAATGTTATCATTGTTGGTCAGTTGTTCAATATCTTTATGTGGAATATGTAGAACAACTTTTATGCGACAAAACTTCTCCCATTGAGGACCATTACGTAAGGGTGAAGGCCGTGGAAAGATACGTACTATATTTTCATACTTGCATTTATTCCATTTATTCCGGTAAATTTATGAGTTAAATTAAGCCGAAATAAAGAGAAATTTTCAAATTCTGTAGGACGTTTCCAATATAATTTTAGAGGTGACTGGACCGTACGTCCTATATCTATGGTTGCGAAATTACTTTAATTCTATGTAATTTTTGCAGTAAGTTTCGGTAAATCAGTTTTCATGTAATTTGTAATTTATTACATGATTTGTAACAAAATTTCAGTGATTGAGGGTTGCAATGTGAATCATATATTCAAATCAAATGATTCATTAATGCTGGGCGAGCTTTTGTAAAGCCTGTACTTTATATGTAGTATGATGAAATTACATAAAATTTGATTTACTGAAACTTACTTAAAATAATATATATTGTAAGTTTGTAACTTTTATAGCACAACCCCTACCTGTAGAATCTGTGTCATCGTACTCTCTATTCTCTCTACTACCAGTACCACGAATCCATCGTGGTACTTCTTTGTTAAGGTTCAAGGAGACAAATACCTAACTAGAACAGTATAGTGGAATACCTAGAAGAAGATGACAGGTTTTCTGAGCAGAAACATTACGTTCTGTAATACTATGTAATAGTAATTTTTGAATAGAAGAAAGTGATGGATTATCCGGACTGCTTTTTTGAAGGATTTGGTTTAGTATTTCAGAAAAAGTTGCTGATTGTGGTTCTGCTTTGCTTGCATACTTTGAAATGTATTGTAAAGCGGCATAGGTGCTAAGAATTGGTTTGATGTCTACGTTTGCTCTCTAGCCCTGTAGTTGAAGTCGATTGTGTGGATTGATTAATGGGTCATTTCTTGCCGTAATAACCTCTGGCCTACCATGTCCATCATCACGCAATATAGTATGATTAATAGTATCTATAGGATACCCAAATCTACAGGACTGTTGGCCTAACTGATTAACGCGAAGGCAGTATGAGGGACTACAGCGCGTATGTCGTTGTAGCTTGTTAACCAATTCTGTGTAATCTTGAAGATCATCCTTCAGTTCTTCACTACCTTTTGACATGGGTGGTGTTCTGGAACTGGTGCATTAAGTTCAGGATTAATTGTGGAAACTAAAGTATCAATATATTGTATCACTTCATCCATCGCTTTTTTATCACCTTTAATCTGTGTCCAATTGATTGCAGGCGCATTTCGTCATTTTCCAATTCCATGCACGTGAACACTACCACAGTGCTGCCATTCAAATCGATACTACCAATCTTCAAGATCCCATTGCCGCTTTAATACATCATTAAAAAAGGTCTCAAAGCGCTTGCAGAAGAACCAGGCCGCAATATGTGGATTAGCAATTATATTTTGCCGCCGTGTAGATTCAGTTACTTGGGCAGAATTTCACCAAATATAATAAGTTTATGGAGCTCTGGCCAATGAAAGTTGGCAGCACTAAAAGTAAAGAACACAAGCCCCCTTGAACCTATTTGTTTAATCATATCTGACAATTCGCGATGTCGTCCCATCCAAAATTGCCGTGATCCACGCAAACCTTCACCATATCACATAATGCGGTCAGCAACATATTTATTACCTTGAGCAATCATGTCTTGAATATCTCTAACTATAAGTTGCTCATCACTAAATTTTTGTTTAACATATACTTTCCCCTCTTGCAGTGCCCGCCATCGCATTATAGAATTCAATGCAAAATATCTCCAACGCGTATGTTGTGCAAATCTTCTATCTTTGTACTGAAGCAGATGCTTGAAATATTCTGCTGGATTGATATCTCTAATGCGTTCTGATCAAAGATCGGACAGTCCTGTTGGGTAAAGAGTTGGGAAAGCACGTGCAATATAACCCGGTGTTCTAAATTCGTTAATGGGTGTATTTTCTATATTTGGCCATGGTAAAGGATTGCTCTCACTTTGCATGCGGTTAAGAGTTTCGTTAATAGCAGCATCTTCTCTATGAACTGGTGGAAGAGACGGAACAAAGATACGCGTAATTATATCATCCTCAACTTCATCATTCTCTGATTCTTCAGCGACTATTTCACTATTTGTGAGCTAGACATCAACATAACCATTTGTAGGTAAGGACTGAAGGACGCCTTCATCAATTGTAATTTCATTATAATACCGATTATTTTCTCTTAACCACATTAATGCACGAGCAACCTTTTCACGACAGACTTGGAAATCCCTAAAGGAATCCGACCTTGCTGACTGGCGGCGTACAATTAACACATCTAATGATGAGGAACTTCTGGGAAGATGAGTAGTAAATTCATATACATCTTGCGGAAAGTTTATTACGTTTCCACGATATCCGTATTGCCCACCACGAAGTTTATAGACCGACATTACTGGAAAAACTTGCACAATTAACATTTTTTCTATCTCTGTAAGTCCTTGCAATTCTTCAGGTACTTCACTGGGGTTCATGTCATTTTCTTCAGAGAACTTTTTTGGTAAGGTCTTTTCACTATAACAACGACGACATTCCCCCACAACATGAACTATTAATGGAAAGCTTTCATTACATACGGGGCAAAGAGTATATTTGATCTTATCCATTTTATTCCGAAATTTACGTAAAAGATCTCGATCGAGTTCGCTAAGATCAGCGGCAGAAAGTAGTTCAACAGGTGTAGTTGTACTAATTTGCATCTCCTGAACATTGGCATGTTGTATCTCTTGCTCATTAATATTTAATCCACTCTCTTGTCTCATTTGTTCACTACCATTGTTCATACTACCATTAACACCATTCACACTATCATTCACTCCATCCACACCATCAATCATAATATTCGCACCATTCATACCATTATTCATATCATCATTCATACCCTCATTCATACCATCATTCATACCATCATTCATACCATCATTAACACCATAATTCACACCATTATTCACTCTATTCACATCATTTACTCGATTATTCGCACCATTCATACTATTATTCATATCATTCTCACCATCATTCTCACCACTTTCAGTTTCTTGTTTTCGATGTTTTTGGTAACGATTGCGAATGCTTGTGAGACGCGTTTCTCGTTCCTCGGGCGTTTCTGCAGTTCTTTTTTTGTGCTTTCTTTCGCGATCTCGAAGTTGTCGTACTTTGCGTTGCTCAGGTGTTTTATTTTTTCTTTTTTCGCGTTTTCTTTGAGTGTCGCGGTAAATATTTTGGTTATCCATTGTTCACACAACCTTTATTGAATTATCAGATAAGTGAAAAGTTTTTCTATTCTGAAATGTATATGCGCCAGTTTGTGTTACGTACTGTATCTTTGTTTACCTGCCTCCTGATTTAAAATTATCCTATCCTAAAGTAACTTAGAAGCATGGTTTTGTGTTGAACATGATTAGCAGGTACTTTATGCACGTAACTATTTACTAATTGGCTTATTTTTAATATATATTTAAGTTCATAGGACATTTACCATTGAACAATTTATAGCGGACCTCTCTAAATGCACTTTTCCTAAATGCACGCTATATAAAAAACCTCTAAATACACACCTCTGCTTGGCCTCAAGCAATACGACGATTATAGATTCTTACTTCTCTAAATGTACATTTTTAAAGTTTTTCACTATGATCCCAAGGGTGTACATTTAGAAAGGTCTGACTGTATCTATCTTAGATCACTCTCATCACGCTTATTTGGTAGAGGAGCATTCAAATAATTACTGATTTTTTTAAAGGTATGAAATTTATGATTTTTATTAGGTATTTTAATTTTGATTTATTCGTGTTAATTAACAGGTAGTTTAGATTTTTTTGGACAATATATTTAAAATAAGCTATGCAACTTTGTGATATTTTTTTGTTATCAACTAGGTTGTTTATACTAAAAAAGTGTTGGTTCTGTGAATGCCGAACTGATAGGGTGAGTAGCACAGAGGTCATAAGCATGTCAATAGTGGTATGCCAAAAATCCAAATAGTTAATAGGCATGCCACTTATATAGAAAGAGTCGATTTATATAATAATTGAATAGAAGGGTCTGGGCCTATAAGAAATTTTAGTAAAACGCAATTTGAACCCAACCAATCCAAGATTTAATTATATTATAGCATGAATTTTTGGTTAATAATATATTGTATAGCATGCCAAATTTTTTAACTGTGCCACTTACTCTACAAACTGGTTAGACAAATTTTACATTTGATTACTGTATTACTATTAGAGCTTCGATCCTTAATCCGACTACCTGAATTAATTTTTAAATCCAGGCAGATTCAATCAGAGCTTTTTACTCGGATTGGTCAAAGAACTTAAATAATAGATCTAAAGATGTGCTACAAAGCTAACTTTGTATGTAATCTAATTCAGATTCAATTCAGATTTAATAGAATCTGGATTGCCTGTCAAAAATAGGATTGAAGCTCTAATTACTACCAATACTCTTGTAGTACAACTAGGTTTTTTATTTGAAGTGTAAAAAAAAACTCATTTAATTAAAGAATCTTTTGTATAATGGGATTTGGGCTTTATTTTGGATGTGATTGACAAATTATATACTTGGTTTTCATATTATGGAACAGTGATTAGTGACGTGGGCGTGCGGCTTTTTTTTTTTTATCCTCAAAATAAAATTATGGCCGTTGATCATTTATAAAAATGTACTTTTTTTATTATAGTTCTTCGGAATTACACTAACCAATATGGATTTGTTGTCAACTAGCGATAGTCTTTAGGTAAAGATAGGAATCGATTTAGTCGACTAAATCTTATAGCCGATTCCTATCCCTACTTTAAGGCGCAGCCGGTTTTAGATGTATAATGAGACCAAGCTGACTAAAGGCAGCTTAAGCTATAGCAACTTAACTATGCCACAGCATCAACTGCAGCTTTTTAAAGCAGATTAACTCATAATTATTGAAGCCACAATGTGTCATGGCTAGAGCCATGGCTCATGCTGTGG